GGCAAATTCGTGGAAGAAGAAGATGAATGTTATAAGCATTTTATTATTTTTTCTTAGTTGAATGAGTTATTTTACTGCTGTTTCTCATACAGCCCTTTGACCATTATTATTATACTGCAACTGGTGACGGCGCTACCTAAACACTGTTGAGGAAAGCAAGGGGAAAAACCTCTTGTTATATTCCATAAATACAGCCCATAAGGCCTAGTAGGGAGAGAGGTGTTGTGAGGTAAGGGGGGGCAGTGGGATGGATAGGATAAATGGAACTTGAACCAAGGACGTGCCTTTGCACAGAACCATAGAGGTTGACACCACTATACTATTTAAAACATGTGTGACCACTCAACATGTGTGACCACTCCATGTAATCATCTAATGCTAGACTCAATGCCTTGTTTATAATTCATGGCTGACAAGATCATGTTGAATAATATCTCTTTAAAATGAAGTGATATTTTGAAATAACTATTTGTAATTCCATGCTTGTTAACAGTGCAGTGTTGGTTTGTTTCCCAACAGGTCGTGTCAATGGGCCAGGTGTTAGAGGCTGGTGTGGCTCGCTTTCCACAATTTACGCTGACTCCCTCAAGTGCCTGGGGTCCTGTAGTCTTCATAATCGTATATTATGGAACAGATGATGGATACATCGTCCATGAAGGTGTACAGCTGAGGGTGCAGGACTTGGAGAACAAGGTGAGGCTAGACCATGCTGGACTGCTTCTCTCAAGTGCCATACTTGCTTGAGAGACATGGCCGAATGGTAGGGAGTTTGGTGCTTGTTTCAGAGCTTCGCAAGTCAAGCCTAGCGGCTGCCACAATTAACGTTGCAGGTATACTATCTAATAATACATGCCAACTGCTTTATAATGGGTGTTAATTTTCCTGTGACTTTATTTTAAAGAGGCCACGTGTACTAGCATCATTGTCCAAATTTGATCAATGATAAATGATCTCATTGGGAAATCACTATATACAACATCATGTGCCTATTGGCATAATGCCCATTTATTGGATGGTTCTGCATGCAACTTGTGATACACAGGAACAGCTGTAACTGGGGATTCCCTTGATTAGACTGCAGCAAGAATGTGGAATGTCGAGGTGAGATGTGATGTTAAGGTGATTTGAGTTGCTGAGACATTTTTGCCCTGTATAAATTAAATCCGTATTCTTACAAGGTTATAATTAGCACCAACCTTGATGCCTTAAGACCAGTCCTTGGAATTGGGATCATCTCGAGATTTTATCAGGTCTCATCCTTGGACTGGGGGGGGGGGGGTGTGACTCTGGTCTGAGGACTTGGCTTAGAGACACCAGCCTTAACATTTACCTTCGCAGAGAGGATCTGGCTTTGGATGGATTTGACACTGGCCTTGACCTAAAAGGCTTCCAGACGTTGCCTTGGACTGGCCTCATGTGTCTCAGTCTCAAACTCAGATTCTGGTTTTGAGCATATCTCTTGGGTTCCAGCCTTGAATCCAAGAATGATTAGCACATGCCATATGTTGTCCTGACTGGCGGACACAACTTGACTTAATTGTCACTTTCACAGGTGGAGGTGAAGTGGAGCACAACAACAGCTCAACCTGGGACGAGCGTGAGCCTGCAAGTCACAGCCTCTGACCCCCAGTCATTTATTGGCGTCATTGCGCTTCCAGCAAATTTATTTAGAGACTACCCAAGCCAGTTCTTCTCTCTCCTGGTGAGATACGGAGGTCACTGTTATCATGCACTCTTCATTCTACAGTAGATGCATTCAAGTGATGACTATGTACTTTCAAGTGCGAAATGGCCGCAGTTGTATGATAGCAAATGTGCATTCTACCTATCGCCAGAAAGGGCAGGTTGTATGGGGATGCCAGTTTTTTTTCCCCTGGACACGTTATTGAACCTCAATCTACGTTGTATGTTTACATGATCCTTGGTGTGATAACCACACTTATTTGCCAACCGTGCTAATCTGAGAATTGTAATTACAATTGGACTTGGGTTTTGTAGACTATGAAAAACACTCTGACTCTGAAGAAATTGATGCAGTCATCCAAGCTCTCACAAACTAAGACCTAAGTAAAACATATTTAGAAATGCAATTTCAAAATAGAACAGCCACACTAAGATTACATGAAGAAAGTACCAAAACATATATTAAAAGCAAAGTCAGTCAAGGAGAAGTTGATGATCTACATTAAAATATATTTAATTATTTGTACTTGATACATGAATATATTTATATTGAAAGTTTTACCATTTCATATTTACTGAAGACATTAATCATTTTGTGCAATGGGAATAGCAGCATAATGTAATAACTGGATTAAATGGTTAGGAAATTTAGTGGACAAGTCTGCTATGTTTATTTCCAATAATAATTCCTGCTTCTTTGATGATGTCCACAGTTATACCCCTATTCATACTGCACAATGACACATTTAATTGTTCAAGTGTGCCATATGAAACTGGTTCCGCTTCATCTGAGAGATGGTCATGGTCTCGTGCTATTTGACTTGTTTTGCGAAGGAGACATACATACATACTTCGACTAATTTGAATATTCTATCATTACCATGAGTTATGGGCGTTTTCTGTGGGGAAATATGGAATATTTGTTTCCATTGACCTCATTTTGCTTTTGAACATTCTCGGTTTAAGACTATGTTATCTCTTATCTGCCTAAGCATGTTTCTACCCACTTTTAATGCACTCTATCCCATAGGCATATACATGCTTTATCTACACTTAGCTATGCCCTTTGTCTGCCTATACTGAAGTGCAACTCACATCACACCAATCTGTGATCATTTCTTGTGTTGAATTTGTTCACAACAGAGACTTCTCTGACAATCTGAGGTTTATCCTTAAGAAACTTGTCAATCTCATTCCTAAACCCACCATATTGGCTTCTACGTGTTCATTTTATAGGATACGGTGTAAATTATTCTCATGGCTTTCCTGTTTTTAAACTCTAGTAGATGCTCACCTCCCTTATCCCTCACTTCATTATTGTAAGGTAATTTATTTCATTCATACATTTTCTCTGTTTCTTCTGTTAATGTTGGAACATATATATTTGAATGATATTTAACTTGTGTTTTGAGAGCCTTATTGCAATCTTGATAGCTTAATCTGATTAATTCTTGAACACTGAAACCTTGAATATTAAAAATCTCACTTTTCAATACATGTCCTACCCTTTTTATAGTACTATTTTAATACATTTACTGCTCCATGTCTCTCATGAGAAAACCTCCATTAATCTCTTATATCTAGCAACTGACATATTCCCATCTTCTACATCTCTGACACATCTCTCTGCTATCTGTTTTTACTGTCTACATCGAGCACCACTCATCATGTTCGTCAATATGGCTCTATATGATAAAACTTGACACCCCTGCTGTTAACTGCTATAAAGCCAGACCTCAGAAGTCTAGGCCACAATTTTGTAAAAGCTACGGCATCTAGCAAAAGGAAGTGATGGTGAGATGAAGTTCCATGAGCTATATTGGCTACGATGACCTCCTTACCTTGCATGAAATGATGCATGGTGAGTTAGTTTTGATAAACGTTATTTACCTGTTGTCTTTCCCAACAGAATCAATACTATGATTATAATTATTACTGGTGGTGGACAAGCAACATATTTGAGGTAATGTTTGCATCGCCAGCTGTACCAATAACACATTTATTGATTCCTCTGACGTATGTGCAAATTACTACTGACACAGTTGCAATGTGTGACATTGACAGGCTAGGTTCACATAAAAAATCATGAAATTATTCGCTCATGAAATGTTTAAATCTTACTATTTGTTGCTTAGGCTGCTGGGCTGAGCTATGTGACTAATGGAAACATGGACTACTGGAGTAAGTATTAATTAGGTTATAGTAATAGGTTTTACCCTTTTAACTGGCACAAAAACTGACACCTTTATTCAAGGCATCATGTATGCAATAACCTCAACACAAGCAGTCAAAATGCAAACAAAAGAGACAACTCTGATAATAATATGCACTGTCCTTGAATTTGATTGGTCCACACCCGAGATGGCTTTTCTTAGAGCCTAGTCTCCACTGGTGTTGGACCAGAAGACGCCAAAAGGCGTACAACTCAAAAACAGCACACTATCAGAGCATTTGAGGGCTCGGGGTGAGCATTTACATTATGAGACCTCCTTTGCCAGTAACAAGATATAGTAATAGGTTTTACCCTTTTAACTGGCACAAAAACTGACACCTTTATTCAAGGCATCATGTTGTGCAGTGATTAACATATGTGCCAAGTCTAACGGAATTCACTGTAATTCTACCTAGATCTAAATATATACCTGGTTTTAACCCATGATCTTCCCAATATTTATAATTACATAATTTATGTTGGGGAAATGTTTTCGCTTAATGCGGCAATTTTTCAGGAACAAATCTGTTGTGTTAAACAAGGAATTGATTGTTAAAAAAAGAACTGTATTATGGATGATATTTGTCGTGAAAGCTTACGTGTTAAACTGAAGGAATGAATGGAATACAATTACTATGCCGACAGACTACACTTACATGTGTAGTGACATAGAATCTTTCACATAGCGCTGGCTGCTGGCAGGGAAGGGGATCTGCAGCTTACAGCGGCCCTGACTGACAGCAGGCCAGGTGATAGACCAGAGAGGGATCTAGGAAGGGTCACGGAAGGGGCACACCGAGAACCCGCTTGTAGGTTCCAGAAGGGGGTGTGGCCGGGGGCGGTATAAGAGGGGGCCCGGAAGGGAGCCTCGGGGCTGTCGTTTGGAATGGGATCCCGTTGTGCTGCTGGAGTCTACACCGTCATGTCCGTCTTCACCATCTCGGCATTGCCAGTCAGGCAGTCTACCAGCTGTCCGGACTGGGAACTGTTGTTACTAAGTGTTACTGTCAGGCCGTGTTAATAAACAGAGTGCCTCCTACTCTTAGTGTCTCTGAGTCAGTCACGACACATGTAAAAAGTTTGTGGATAACAGGAAGCAATTTTGCAATTGAGGATGGAAAAAATTCAGATTATCATGGATAATGGAATGTAGAGAACAGACGTTTTCACATACTCTTGATTTCACAGATAGAAGTTGCATGTTCTAGGGCGTCGGTTAGATGAGTTCTGTATAACCACATATTTCCTCATCTGCACCCCATTCTTAGATAAACCACCTATAAATAATGGAAAATCAAGGAAATTGGAAAATCGCTTACTCAATGATGGACTTCTGGATACCTGGTTTTGGCAGAATGGTGTCCTAGGGTAAGTATTATTTGTGTGTATCGTACCCCAGAATGCATGTACTGAGGTTAAACGAAGTTAGGGCATTGCTTATATTTTCACACACTCTTTAGATCCAAGTAGCAGTGTCTATTGTATTGGAACAAAATCTGGGTGAATCTTAAGCAATTATTCAAATGAGGCCACATTATTGTATGGTTGGCGTATTAAATACGTTTCTCAACATTTATTGTTTCCTTAAATATTTGGTTTATAAACGTTTGCTTAAATATAAATACATTTTTAAATGAAAGCATTGGATTGCGCATCTCTTAAAGGCCAGACAAGACAATCACATTCACAGCCACTGCCCCTGAAATCAACTCCCACTGGATTGCCATTGCCTTTTCCATATCAAACACAAGTGGATTATCGGTGGATTATACCAGCACTCCGGTACGTATGCGTTATTTTCTCAAACCTCTTCCCTCATGACAGTTACTTGTTTTTATCATCATCAGCAGCCTAACTAATTTACTGCTGGATAAAAACCTCCTCGTTGTCGCCATCCCATACGATTCTGTAATGTAACACACTTTAACTTGTCGTACGTGGAGTGGGTAGATGGGACAGCCACTGCCCCACGTTATTCTGTGACCTTTCCATCATTTTTTCTCCCGCACCTTGGCCATGAATTTCATTCAAAATTTCCGTGACAAAAATCCCATCCTGAAGTGAATTTGGACGTTGTACTCAATGTGCTCATGTGGGGGGATTAAAATTGACTTTGCTTTTTTAGGATTAACAGGCGACAGCCAAATCTAGCTGTCAGCCAAATCTGGCTGTCGCCTGATGAAGCTAGTTGTAATTACTGGCGAAACGACATACTCAGATTGTAAATTTTGTGGCTTGGCTCTCCAACACACCGGTGTGCTGTACTAGTGACGAATTGGCATGTTCTGTTTACGTGACAACCCTTACGAGTTGGTTGTCGGGTGGTGGTGGGTTTTAACGACAGATTTATATATTTTCGCGATCGAACCCCAAAAAAACTCGTATGTATGGTTATTGTTATTCTTTGGTTCTTTTGGTAAAGGCACGTATATTGAAAATAATAAAAATAATATAATTACTAAATTTACAGGGCGAGAGAAGGGGCAGAGATAGGTGGAGAGAGAGGGGGAGAGACAGGGGGCAGAAATAGGGGAGAGAGAGAGGGGGTAGTGATAGGGGGAGAGAGAGGGTGTAGAGATATGCGGGGGGAGAGAAAGGGGGTGCAGGGATAGGGGGAGAGAGAACGATGGTACTTTGCAAGCCTACTGGCTATCAACAAAGATTTGTTCATGAAGTCATCCACATACAGTGAGGGAAAAAAGTATTTGATCCCCTGCTGATTTTGTACGTTTGCCCACTGAGAAAGAAATGATCAGTCTATAATATTAATAGTAGGTTTATGTGAACAGTGAGAGACAGAATAACAACAAAAAAATCAAGAAAAACGCATGTAAAAAATGTTATAAATTGATTTGCATTTTAATGAGGGAAATAAGTATTTGACCCCTCTGCAAAACATGACTTAGTACTTGGTGGCAAAACCCTTGTTGGCAATCAGGGGTCAGACGCTTCTTGTAGTTGACCACCAGGTTTGCACACATCTCAGGAGGGATTTTGTCCCACTCCTCTTTGCAGATCTTCTCCAAGTCATTAAGGTTTCGAGGCTGACGTTTGGCAACTCGAACCATCAGCTCCCTAAACAGATTTTCTGTGGGATTAAGGTCTGGAGACTGGCTAGGCCACTCCAGGACCTTAATGTTCTTCTTCCTGAGCCACTCCTTTGTTGCCTTGGCCGTGTGTTTTGGGTCATTGTCATGCTGGAATACCCATCCACGACCCATTTTCAATGCCCTGGCTGAGGGAAGGAGGTTCTCACCCAATATTTGACGGTACATGGCCCCGTCCATCGTCCCTTTGATGCGGTGAAGTTGTCCTGTCCCCTGAGCAGAAAAACACCCCCAAAGCATAATGTTTCCACCTCCATGTTTGACGGTGGGGATGGTGTTCTTGGGGTCATAGGCAGCATTCCTCCTCCTCCTCCAAACATGGCGAGTTGAGTTGATGCCAAAGAGCTCCATTTTGGTGTCATCTGACCACAACACTTTCACCCAGTTGTCCTCTGAATCATTCAGATGTTCATTGGCAAACTTCAGACGGGCATGTATATTTGCTTTCTTGAGCAGGGGGACCTTGTGGGCGCTACAGGATTTCAGTCCTTCACGGCGTAGTGTGTTACCAATTGATTTCTTGGTGACTATGGTCCCAGCTGCCTTGAGATCATTGACAAGATCCTCCCGTGTAGTTCTGGGCTGATTCCTCACCGTTCTCATGATCATTGCAACTCCACGAGGTGAGATCTTGCATGGAGCCCCAGGCCGAGGGAGATTGACAGTTTTTTTGTGTTTCTTACATTTGCGAATAATCGCACCAACTTCTCACCAAACTGCTTGGCAATGAATTCTAGATTTAAAGCTTTCGTGACTGCTAGGATCCATACTCTTTGGTTCTATTGGGTAAAGTCACGTAGGTGAAAATAAAATAACAAAAAATCACGACGTTTCGGCCACAACACAAGCGGCCTTCATCAGGTGAAGGGACGAGACTTCCACTCCAGCGCTGTCCTCCAGACAGTCTCGTCCCTTCACCTGATGAAGGCCGCTTGTGTTGTGGCCGAAACGTCGTGATTTTTTGTTATTTTATTTTCACCTACGTGACTTTACCCAATAGAACCAAAAAGTATGCTTGGCAATGGTATTTTAGTCCATTCCAGCCTTGTGTAGGCCTACAATCTTATCCCTGACATCCTTGGAGAGCTCTTTGGTCTTGGCCATGGTGGAGAGTTTGGAATCTGATTGATTGCTTCTGTGGAAAGGTGTCTTTTATACAGGTAACAAGCTGAAATTAGGAGCCAGAAATCTTTCTGATTGAGAGGGGGTCAAATACTTATTTCTCTCATTAAAATACAAATCAATTTAAAACATTGTTGACATGCGTTTTTCCGGATTTTTTTGTTATTCTGTCTCTCACTGTTCACATAAACCTACCATTAAAATTATGGACTGATCATTTCTTTGTCAGTGGGCAAACGTACAAAATCAGCAGGGGATCAAATACTTTTTTCCCGCACTGTATATAGACACAGACAATTTTAAATTAGAAGATGGTTATGAACCCGGCAATCATTGGAAAGATGTTAACAACCACTTTGGGTCATGACTTCGTTTGTAATTTCTTGTCATTCTCCACCAACAGCAGTGTGGATGTGTGGAGCGAGGCGCAATACCCCCCCATCTCTACCCCCCTCTCTCCCCCTATCTCTCCCCCCTATCTCTCTTTTTTATGATCAGAGGAAATAAGAAGATGTTCGGTGTAGTCGGCACTTTGCTTCGTTCATCATTTCTTTTTTTTAATGCTTTGCTTTATATAACCCCCCCCCCCCTTTTAAATGAAAGATTTAACAAAAGATTTCTCGCACTGCTCTCCTTACCCCTTCCCTCTCTCTCTAACCCCCTCTCTGCCCCCCCTCTCTCTCTCTCTACCCCCTCTCTTCCTACTCCATGTCGCTCTCGCTCTCTCTCGCTCACTCTCTCGCTCTCTTTTTATAACTACGACAAGTGCTGCATCTGCACGCAGCCCTCACAGTCAAATGGCCTCCGACGGGTAGCTCATATCTGCATGCAGAGCTCTCCGTCATCTGCCACCGAGCACACGGCCTCCTCCAGCGCCCACTGCTCCTTGAAGGCCGGCACGGCGTGGGTCAGCCGCGCATGGCGGAACTCCAGCCACACCCTGGCTCCGACCAGGGCGGAAGATGCCCAGACTGCTGGCCAGACGTTTCCCTTCCAGGGCCACCTTCCTCGCCCTGTATATGGCGAGCTTGGCGTAGCCGACGAGCATATTGACCAGCCCCTGAAGATGTTGGGGTCCGTCACCCTTCATGTATCCAAAGATGAGGACCGTTGGTGAGAAGTGGAGGCTGAACCTTAGGAGGATGTTTCTCAGGACCTTGAACAACGAGTCCAGGCTCTTGCACTCCGCGTATTGGTGCGCCACCATCTCCACTTTACCGCAGAACCGGCACTCCGGGGACGTGTCGGTGAAGCGCGCCAGGGAAGCGTTGGTGGTGACGGTGCCGTGGGCGATGCTCCAGCTGAGGTCGCCGATGCGGTTGTACGTCCGGCTGGAGTAGAGTTGCCTCCAGCGAGGCCCCTCCTAAGAGATGCAGGGCAGGGCTTTCCTCCAGGCATGGTCCTCGTGGCTCCTCAGGGTGTCCTGTTGGTGGAACCGGACCATGTAGGAGTAGAGCACCTTCCTCTTTACATTTGCGAAGGCCACCTCCGGTAGGTCTCCCAGCCGGCACAGGTTGTTATCCGCCTTCGTTTGTCGGCATTGGCGATGCAGTGGCACGACTGAGAGCTCCGGTGGAGGGGGACCGAGAGGGGCCTCGTCATCCCCAACGCCGATGGGGGGCGTTCTCCCCGCTGCCGCTGAGAAGGCCCCCTTGGCTCTCCCCCCCCTCTCTCTCCCCATCTCTACCCCCTTCCCCCCTCTCTCTCCCCCATATCTCTACCCCCTCTTTCCCCCTATCTCTCCCCTCCTCTCTCTCTCCCCTATCTCTGCCCCCTGTTTCTCCCCCATGTCTCTCCCCCTCTCTCTCCACTTATCTCTACCCCTTCTTTCTCCCTGTCTCTGCACCCTCTCTTTCCCCTTCTCTGCCTCTTCTCTCTCCCCCGAGCTCTGCTGCCTCTCTCTCCCCCTTTGTCTTCTCCTGCATTTCCTGCCCCGCCCATGCTGCTGACACACTTGGACTGCGCCGCTCGCCGCTCAGGGCTGGCTCCACGGCTGTTGTGCCCCGCCCACTCACAGCTTTGGCTCGTCCATTCATGCTGCCTTGCAGCACTTGTCCCCCCATTCCTTCTGACACTTGGGCTGCACCCATTTCAAGCCTTTATAAACAGTTGCAGTTAGAGGCTTGCCCTCATTTTCCCTCTGCCTGATGACGACTGCTTGTGTTGCGATCGAAACGTCGTGAGTTTTTGTTTTTTGTTAAAAGTGTATTATTTATTATGATTATTTATTATTATTTTAATATTTTCCATCTACGTGACTTTACCGAAAGAACCAAAGAATATGAATTCCTGCAGTCACGAAAGTTTTAAATAAAAAATGTATGTTTATGATTGTCAGTTTGAAGTGACCTCACCATTGCAAGTCACCATAAATGTACCCAGCGTTACCTTTCTTGGAGAAGAGTTCATTGTGGAGGCAACTGTCTTCAACAAGCAGACACAGACAGCTCAGGTAACAATGAGGCACCTTTAAGATAAATTAACACATTTGAAGTTTCACAAACCTTGCCACTCAACATTGTGCATTATAATTTAAAATAATGATAAATGTATAGTATTTAAATAACGTTTCGATACTTATGTCTCTTCCAAACATTGGTCAGCATGGAAGAGACCAAATGTAGTACATCAATTATCCGGTGCCTTCGGGGGGGAGGGGGAGCCGGATAAAAAAAAACTCCGGATAATCACATCATTATTTAAAATATCAATTTTTTTCACATTATTGAATGACATGTTTTTACGTGTTGTTATGTTTTTTAGTGTTTTAAATGTATGTGTTGTGTGACATTGGCATAGACATACAAATAGACACAAATAAATACCCTGTACAAAGTTACTGTATTTACTGTACCGTACTTACCACTCCAATCTCGAAGACTTTGCATGGGGTGATGTACAGTATATACATGCAGTATTTTCATTTTTTGGAGTTATATGTAGTGTATAATTAACTGAATATAATATTTAACACTGCAATCAAGCATAGCTACTTTTTGTCATGCACATGGTGAGATCACCAGACTGGCTACGGCCTTCAGAGCGGTTTTGCCGGTTTCGCATGATCGGCCCTGGGACAGCCAGATAATGTTGGAAACCGGATAATCGATGATCAACTGTGCTCTCGAGAGGGGCCCGAAAGCGCTTTCTCCAGAGGAGGTGTTTCTGCCAGCAGTGGTGTGCACAAGCAATTACAGGGCTTCCGTTTTTCTTTTATTGTTTTTAATAATGATGTTTTATTGTGAGAATCATTTTAATCTGATTCTGACGTTATTCCTTCCATCAACATTTACCTATTGATTTCTAGGTCCTTGCAAAACTGATGGAGAATGAAAACTTCACGATTCTGTTCCAAAGCAACGGTCTCTCCCCCAATGAACGAAGCTTGAATGTGTCTGGACAGAGTTCTGCCACTGCCTTCTTCCCTGTTTCTCTGAATGTTGACGGCAAAGTTTCCTTCGCTGTAGTTGTCTCCTACCAAAATGTGGATTACACAGTGGTGGGATACACATTGGTCAAGGTAAGTGTCTGCTAGCGTGCGTGCATGTTCTCAGATACAGCTGCAATGGGGCCACGTGCTGTCTGCAGTGATTGAAAATTGGGTTGTGTCAATCATGCCATGAAGGAATGGCTTGTGAAGGGAGCACTGAAAGGGAATAATGGCTCATTCCACTTCGTTTCATCTGGGAGTTCAGTCGTTCCATTTAGTAATAATTTGCAGAATTTCTGTGAATCTCCATATATATAAAAGGCAAAGTTGTGAATGCGTCTGTTCAAAATGTTTGCCATGTGGGTACTTTCCAAACTGTACACCATGCAAAAATAAAAAAAAATCACTTTTGTTTTTTTTAGGGGGGGAGGGAAGAGCTCAATAATGCATATATTTTTTGCACGGCAAGTGAGCTGTGACGTCAGACCCTCGCACGTGGAAGCGTAACGCATGGTAGTGTAACGGTTAGTGCGCCGCGCTACGAACCCGGCTTACTCGAGTTCGATTCCCGCTCACGGCCACCACCGGTGAAGATTATTTTTACCGGTGCTGGGCCTCCCCTAGGTCGACTCAGCCTCAAACGAGTAACTGCTGTGGTGTGAACATCGCCGCTGGGGAGACAAAGGCGGCCGGGCGTGGTGAATTAAGTCCCGTGCGAAGCCGGGTAGTAAAGCTAGTACTTCATAAACAAATCATGATTGTTAAAATTTGATAAGCAACCATGCATATAAAAAAGTAACCAAATAATGCTTGATACAGCAATTTTGCTGTGATGGTTTCCACCTGAAGACGGAAGCTTGTGTTGCCTCCGAAACGTCGTGATTTAATTTAGTTGTTTTCATTTATTTTGTTTTACCTGCGTGAATTTACCGAATAAACCAAAGAGTATTACGTTGAGCAGTCACACCAAGGAGGGAGTTGTTAGAATTATTATGGCCCCCCTTCTTAAAAGAGGGTTTACATCCTTCCAATCTGTGGTACCAATCTTATGGTCCAGTTAGCTGTGATTATGTCAACACACAATTGCCACCCACCCTCAACCGTTCTCTTGGGACGTAAGCGCTGCCCAGCACTTTATCTGGCCTTAGGTTTTGTATTTCCCTACACACTTCCTCAACAGATGGCACATTAGCCAGCCACTCACAGGGGGCACCTACTTCCTCCAATATTCGAGGCATGGTAGCCCCATTAAGGTCAACTCTATCTCCCCAAGTTATCTGAGATGAGGGGTTTCCCCTCCCCCAAGATCTCAAAAATATCCTCAGCAACCTACAAACCTCTTACTGGGTTCTGATATCGGATCGCTGCCCTTGTTTTATTTATTTCGAAAAACACAAATATCAGGGACCCACTATTTCACAACTTAATAAGAAACACTAGAAATAATAGCATACAAGGGATCTTCCCATCCAATCAGATAATTTTCAACACATGTATGTTCACAGTAACCAATCCGCAAATACAACCGGAGCACCATTTGTGATGCACAATAAGTTTACTTCCACCTCCACCAATTTGGTTCATTACATCACACACAAACACTGTGGCCTCCACTACATTGGAGAAATGGCTAAATGCCTCGATGATAGTTTCATGGAACATCTTCTGTCAGAAATGTTTGTTTCATGGGTGTACCTCACATTTATTTTATCAGACTTCTCTACCTCAGGAATGTAGGACACTTACATTTATTTTATTGAAATGGTGATTGGGCCCAGGAATGTATTTCTGGATGGATTGTGCCTTGTTCACACAAGAACAAACCTTCCAACAATGCAAGGTGACAGCAAAATTTTATAATTTGAACATAAACTAGTTTACATCGTAATACATTTTGAAAATTGTAGGGTTTGTCCCGTACTTAATGTATATTTTTCGGTAACTATTAATCTGCCTGTTCAAAACTGCGCATCAGATTTTAGTGTGTTATCATCAGGTCCTATGGTGTAAAGTGCAATCTGCAATCCGTTTTATCTCTCTGGCCTCATTTTGTATGTGCTGTGAACAAGGGCTGTTGCCTGAATGTAGCATTTATTTATTTTAAGGCCGTGTTGCTGACGAATTTTCTGTCTCAATGTCTGACAAGTGGTATAATCGTTTGTGTCGTGCTTTTCCCATCATGCAGTATCCAGGCTTCCCACAAACGTACTCGGAGAGTGCCCTCCTCAGCCTTTATGAGAATAAAAAATTCACAAGATCATTTGTGTTCAACTTCCCACCCAACATCGTACAAGGAAGCAGTTCAGCCGTCCTTTACATCTACGGTACATGTCCATTGGGCACCATGCCGATTCATTCTCACAGATATATACAGATGGCTATTGTTGGTGTCTGTGCTTATATATGATTCTACATCAGGGCATACTACAATATTTTTCTGAGTATTACCATTGTTATAGTCATAGATATGTATTATGAAACCTCCTTTGCCAGTAACAAGATATAGGAATAGGTTTTACCCTTTTAACTGGCACAAAAACTGACACCTTTATTCAAGGCATCATGTTTGCAATAACCACAACACAAGCAGTCAAAATGCAAACAAAAAAGACAACTCTGACATCACTACAGTAGTGCGGCCTTTATCAGCTGCTAGGATTTGGATATCCTTATTTACACGCAGCTCTCTTAAGGCTTTTGCCTCGTTAGAGCTAATATTTAGCAAAATATATAACTAAACAAATACAGCCCTACATCGGTAGGACATCTTCATTCATAAGAAATTCAGAACATCTTGTGAATGTGATTAAAGATATTAAACTTAATCCTAATGATATTCTGGTAAGTTTTGATGTGATTTCTCTATTCACTAAGGTTCCAGTGAACGAATCGCTTAAATTACTTGATACACTAGTAAAGAATACAGGTTTACCAAAAGATATTCCGAAACTTGCTGACCATTGTTTAAATAACACTTACTTCTTATGGAGAGGGGATTTCTTTAAACAAAAGGAAGGAGCAGCAATGGGCTCTCCTTTATCCCCTGCTATAGCTAATTTGTACATGGAAAACTTTGAAATAAGAGCACTTGCCTCGAGCACATTAAAACCATCTTTTGGTTTAGATATGTGGATGACACTTTGGTTGTCTGGCCACATGGTAAAGATACACTTAATGATTTTTAAAATCATCTCAATGCACAAAACCTGGCCATCCAGTTCACCATGGAAATGGAGGTGAATAACACACTCCCATTCCTAGATATTTTGCTTGGACATGGCCTAAACGGTAAAATAACACAGCGTTTACAGAAAGCAAACGCACACTGATGCCTATCTGAATGCAGATTCGCATCATCATCATCCAGCTAAGTAATCCTCTCTTATTAAGATGCTCATACATCAGGCTAAAACAGTGTCAGATGGTGAAAGTCTAGTGAGAGAGATCAAACACGTTAAAGACGCACTACGACAGAATGACTACAATAATGCTCAACTTCTTTGGTTCTTTCGGTAAAGTCACGTAGAATGATAATAAAATAATAAATTGATAAAATAAAATAACAATAATATTCTCACGACGTTTCGGCCACAACACAAGCAGCCTTCATCAGGTGAAGGGGACGAGACTGTCTGGAGGACAGCGCTGGAGTGAGAAAACCACGCTGAGATCACGACCTTTAAGCTGTGTGAGAAGAAACAAAGTGCCTTGACAAAGGAATTAGCATATAATTTAGCATTGAAATGGCTGAGTGATTAGCTTGTGACTGGTCACAGAAAAGGCTATGTTAAAGTTAAAGCATACACATCCGCAAAGGCACCCCTTAACAAAGAAATTAGCATAGAATTTAGCATTGAAATAGCTGAGTGATTAGCTTGTAACTGGTTACAGAAATAGCTATGTTAAAGTCAGAGTATATACATTCACCGAGGCACCTAGTAAAAATCAAACAGGAGAATTTAGCATTGAAATAGCTAAGTTAAAGTATACACATCCGCAGAGGCACTCCTTGACAAAGGAATTAGCATAGAATTTAGCATTGAAATAGCTGAGTGATTAGCTTGTAACTGGTCACAGAAATAGCTATGTTAAAGTCAGAGTATATACATTTACCGAGGCACCTAGTACAAATCAAACAGGAGAATTTAGCATTGAAATAACTAGGCGAATTTAGCATTGAAATAACTGAGTGATTAGCTTGTGACTGGTCACAGAAATGGCTATGTTGAAGTTAAGGCCTACACATCTGAGCTATTCACAGTAACTGGGTATACAATACAATATATAATGAATACTATATAGTCAACCAATGAAAAATACTAAAATATAAATTACCTCAATGTTATCAATAAACTCTATATTCTCCAATCAGCTAAGCTACCAACAATAAGTCGTTATATATCACAATGCTATATGGCGAAAAAAGGGTGGATTCTTACCCTCAACTTTAGCAACACGGATAGCTACGGGTCCCGTTCAGACGGACGAGTTCATCCATGGTCGGAACAGAGGAGGGGGAGAGAGACAGCTGCGAGGCGCTGTTATACTCCATGTTGTAAACCATACTATTAACCGTGGTGTGAGAGGTATTAAGAGTCAATGCCAGCGGAAGAGCTGCGGTCTGAAGGTCATCGTAAAATACAATTAATTAAGAACGGAAGTGGTTTAAAACATCTTTCCAATGGTTACTGAGCCAGAATCCATCTTCTCGGTTGAAATTGTCTCTGTGCTTGTATATGTGAATGGCCTCATGAACGAATCTCTCATGGTAGCCGGTTGGTTTGCAAAGAACCTCCGTCTTGGAGAAGCCAATGTTATGTGAGCCCACTGAATTATAACAGTGATCTGCCACGGCAGAGGAGTTCGTTCACCGTGTTTCAAGTCTGTTTCTCCAATGTAGCTACTACCACAGAGGCACTTTAGTTTGTAAACGACCGGGTACTGTATGTCTGGAACAGCATCTTTTACAGATGGAACTAGATCACGGATTTTATGTACTGTGTTGAATCGGACCTGGATCTTGTGTTTATTCAGGATTTTGGAGATCTTTTTAGTGACCCCTGCAATGTAGGGTAAGGTGATGGTTTAGAGTGGCTCCACAAGGGGATCCTTCTTCATGACTGGAGTGATGGCTTTGCGGATTGTGTAGTCGGAGTAACCATTAGCCCTGAGAGCCTGGTGTACGTGCTTGAGTTCACTGGTAATGTGTTCCTGGTCGGAAATGCATTGGGCTCTATGGTATAGAGTCTTGATGAGGGAGTTCTTCTAGGATGGATGGTGGTGGGAATCTGGTTTCAAGTAAGCATCTGTATGGGTAGTTTTCCTGTAGACAGAGTGGCTCATTGAACCATCATGTCTCCTTTTAATTAAGACATCCAAAAAGGGTAGTTTGCCATCTTTTTCGACCTCCATGGTAAATCTGATGGCTGGGTGTATGGAATTGATGTGGTCGCAGAATTGGTCTAGAGCAGGCTGGCCATGTGGCCAGATGACAAAGGTGTCATCCACGTACCTCTTCCATAAGGTCGGGCGTAGAGTGGCATTCTGGATGGTGTCAGTTTCAAATTTTTCCATGAATACGTTGGCTACAACCGGAGATATGGGGGAGCCCATTGGGGTGCCCTCAGTTTGTTTGTAGAAAGTTCCATTCCAGGTGAAGTATGTGTTGGTTAAGCAATGTCTCACCAGGGGGGGTACATCAGTGTGCAGTCCTTGATGAACCAGGTCTTCAATGATAGCGATGGTGTCAGGTACCGGGACTTTGGTGAAAAAGGACACCACATCAAAACTGACAAGCAGGTCGTCTGGGGACAGGGAAATGCCTTTGATTGTCGATACCAGGTGAGTAGAATTTAGTACCGCAGAGGTGGTTTTTCCAGTGAAAGGTCGCAGTATATCAGCAAGAAAACGTGCCAGTTTATAGGTGGGGGAGTTGATAGTAGAGACGATGGGACGAAGGGGTGTATCTTCTTTGTGTACCTTTGGAAGGCCATATAATCTTGGTGGTCTGGCTGCAGAGGGTTTCAACGAGAACTGTTTGGTCTCATCAATTAATGCTGTTGAATCAGAGATGATTTTGTTCGTTTTGATAACCAGGCTGTTGGTGGGATCTCTTTTTATTTTTGTATAGCTGGCATCGTTGAGTAGTTCTTGAATTTTATTGTTATATTCTGTTTTGTCCATGATGACAGTGGCATTGCCCTTGTCGGCTGAGAGGACGACAATATCATCTTTCTTTTTTAATTGAGATAATTCAAAACGTTCGTCTTTGCTGATGTTGCTGGGTGGCAACTTAGCGTTTTTGAGGGTTGCAGCGATTTCAGATCTTGCTACGTCTGCAGCGATGTGACTCAAGCCCTTGAGTGCAACGTCGACATGGGCAATGATATCATTAACCGGTAAGTGTCTCGGTGTGACAGCAAACTTTAGACCTTTAGCTAAAACGGATTTCAGACCACCAGAAATGGAACTGTTACTGCGATTATTTACGACTTTGTTGACGTCTATCTTTCCATGTGCCTCTGTGGTAGTAGCTACATTGGAGAAACCAAACGACATATCTCGGACCGCATCCGCGAACATAAAGCAGACTTGAAACATGGTAGAACGAACTCCTCTGCCGTGGCAGATCATGTTATAATTCAGTGGGCTCACATGACATTGACTTCTCCAAGACGGAGGTTCTTTGCAAACCAACCGGCTACCATGAGAGATTCGTTCATGAGGCCATTCACATATACAAGCACAGAGACAATTTCAACCGAGAAGATGGATTCTGGCTTAGTAACTATTGGAAAGATGTTTTAAACCATTTCCGTTCTTAATTAATTGTATTTTACGATGACCTTCAGACCCCAGCTCTTTCGCTGGCATTGACTCTTAATACCTCTCACACCACGGTTAATAGTATGGTTTACAACATGGAGTATAACAGCGTCTCGCAGCTGTCTCTCTCCCCCTCCTCTGTTTCGACCATGGATGAACTCGTCCGTCTGAACGGGACCCGTAGCTATCCGTGTTGCTAAAGTTGAGGGTAAGAATCCACCCATTTTTCGCCATATAGCATTGTGATATATAACGACTTATTGTTGGTAGCTTAGCTGATTGGAGAATATAGAGTTTATTGATAACATTGAGGTAATTTATATTTTAGTATTTTTCATTGGTTCACTATATTGTATTCATTATATATTGTATTGTATACCCAGTTACTGTGAATAGCTCAGATGTGTAGGCCTTAACTTCAACATAGCCATTTCTGTGACCAGTCACAAGCTAATCACTCAGTTATTTCAATGCTAAATTCGCCTAGTTATTTCAATGCTAAATTCTCCTGTTTGATTTGTACTAGGTGCCTCGGTGAATGTATATACTCTGACTTTAACATAGCTATTTCTGTGACCAGTTACAACCTAATCACTCAGCTATTTCAATGCTAAATTCTATGCTAATTCCTTTGTCAAGGGGTGCCTTTGCAGATGTGTATGCTTTAACTTTAACATAGCCTTTTCTGTGACCAGTCACAAGCTAATCACTCAGCCATTTCAATGCTACATTACATGCTAATTCCTTTGTCAAGGCGCTTTGTTTCTTCTCACACAGCTTAAAGGTCGTGATCTCAGTGTGGCTTTCTCACTCCAGCGCTGTCCTCCAGACAGTCTCGTCCCCTTCACCTGATGAAGGCCGCTTGTGTTGTGGCCGAAACATCGTGAGAATATTATTGTGTTATTTTATTTTATCAATTTATTATTTTATTCTCATTCTACGTGACTTTACCGAAAGAAGCAAAGAAGATGAATCCTTGCAGTCACGAAAGCTTTAAATCGAAAAATAATGCTCAAATTAACAGAGCATTGAATGCCAAATCACGATGGCAAAGCAATACTGCTGAAAGCGATCAGATTGTTAAAACAATAAAAATTCCATATATCTCAGGAGTAACTGTAAGATTTGGTACAGTACACAAAATTCAAAAACTTGTATCTTGCACTAAAGACGCATTACCGAAATTATCAACAGAAGGTGTATATTGGATTAATTCTTTATGTGGCAGATGCTATATTGGACAGACGGGACGTAACATCAGCGTAAGACTAAAAGAACATCAAAGAAATATTAAATTATCTCAAACACAACTGTCGGCAGTGGCAGAACATGCTTGTCAACAAGGACACTCAATTGATTTTGTTAACGTTGAAGTGTTGTGTAAAACTAATTATTACTGGCAAAGACTATTGAGAGAATCCATTGAAATTGAGAGGAATAAAAATAACTTTAATCGCTCTGACAGCTACAGGCTTAGTGCGGCCTGGAAGCGTATTATTAAATAATACACATTACAATTCCTTATAGGGGAAACACATACGAATTAACGGATTACTAACATAGCATATAATCACTAACACACATTACAACTAATTACTAATCTACAACTCATTACTAATCATAACCATTGACTGATTACTAATCGATTACATAATTACAATACCCCCCTCCGCCTCAAATCACTGCACCTGAAATGAGTTAAATGTTGACGTCACCCTGCTGCTCTATTTAAGACCAGGAGCAAGCGAGGGCTTTACCATTCTGGCGAATTGCCCGAGGATGCTGGATGTAATTACCAGCGAAACGTCGTACTCAAACTGTAAATGGTGTGGATTCACTCTTCAACACACCGGTGGGCTAAAGTAGTGAATTATTTGTCTTTTGTCAACGTGACACTTTTTTGCTGATTGGCCGTGTCGGGTGGTGGAGGGTTGCGACACATTTATAAATAACGCGATCTAACCCAAAAACCTTTATTATGAATAATATTGGTCGCGAAAGCCTACGTGTTAAACTCCTATATCTTGTTACTGGCAAAGGAGGTCTCATAATGTAAATGCTCATCTCGAGTCCTCAATACTCTGATAGTGCGCTGTTTTTGAGTTGTACGCCTTTTGGCATCTTCTGGTCCAACACCAATGGAGACTAGGCTCTAAGAAAAGCTGTCTCGGGTGTGGACCAATCAAATTCAAGGACAGTGCATATTATTATCAGAGTTGTCTTTTTTGTTTGCATTTTGATTGCTTGTGTTGTGGTTATTGCAAACATGATGCCTTGAATAAAGGTGTCAGTTTTTGTGCCAGTTAAAAGGGTAAAACCTATTCCCATAGATATGTAGTTGGATAAATAACGGAAAATTGCTTTGCCATGTAATAAAGAACTATAAATGGAATATGTATGCGTTAACCTTTTTAATTGTTATTTGTTGTGAGCAAGCACATAATGAAAATTGAGCCATCTGGTAGCAGCATATGACCACGTCTCAATAATAAAGTGTGATTACATGCAAAACATCAACTAGATAGGTGGATTTATATGAATTAGGTGCAGATGAGCCAGCCACAAGTAAGTCAATGGCATCCACAAGTATTCCGTAGCGAGTGCTCAGTGCTCCACCACCTAGGAATACTCAGATGGTTTATGGATGAACAAGTTATTTGTAGAGTACTAAAGCGCGACTGTGGCTTTAAACAGTGGCCTTGACATGCGCTTGTGTGAAACGTGCAGGAGACATCATTGGACCCTCCCTCACTGGGCTGGACCAGCTCATTCAGATGCCGTACGGCTGCGGGGAGCAGAACATGATCAACTTTGCACCGGGAATCTACATCCGAATATATCTGGACGTGTCCCGCCAGACAACGCCAGATATCGCTGCTAAATCCTTGAATTACATGAATTCTGGTAATGTAACATGTTTGAATTGTTATCCGTGGGCTGTTGTGTAGTAGATATTCTGTTGCTCTTCATTCCAGTATCCCCACTTTTGCAAATTTACTTGTGAACTGCTGAATCCCGTTCGAAGGTGATTTAAAAAATTCAGGTTCACCAATCATTGTATGTGCCAGCGGCGAGATCTTCGGTGACAATGCATTTTTATACCCTTGGTCATTTTGTTTGAGTTGAGTTTCAGTTGTGTAGCTGTCGGTGGTTTTTCGAAGCGATGCCATTGTGGCTCGGAAGCTTTTCTGTGATTTATTTTCACCCTTGAAGGGTAACCACTATCGTTTGTTATATGACAATAGGAAAACTCACGAACCAGATTGAATAGCTGTAGACATTATAAAAAGCAGAATCAGTGATCTAATTAAATGTTTATACAATTTAAATACCTCAATCTAGAATTATGCCTCAATTATTGTCCTATTAAACAAGTGAGACAAACCTAACTTGAAGAATTAAAGTTTTCATTGATGCTGTTTTGGCAGTGGTTCATTAGCACAAATAGTGTCTAGATTGTATATTTTTTGTTTGTCTATAATATTTGTAAACTATTGATACACATGATAGGAGGCTAATCATTCTCTAATTCTTCAAATAACAAAATCTCATCATGGGACCTCCTCTGCCAGTACCAAAATATGAGAATAGGTTTTCCCCTTTTTTTCTGGCAACAAAATAGGTGTTAAGATGTTAAAACACCAAACTGAAACTTTTTACAAGGAATCATGTCTGCATTCACCACACTACTTGTGGTCAGAATGCAAACAAAAACATAATCTGATAATATATGCATTGTCTTTGAAACTGATTGGTTCACACCAGAGACAGCTTTCTTTTGAGCCTAGTCTAACACCAATGCGGGATGGTGATGGTATGAGGAGGCTTTCATCAATCATATATTATCAGTGTTTTTTTGCATTCTGACCACAAGTATTGTGGTTAATGCAGACATGATTCATTGTAAAAGGATTCAGTTTGGTGTTTTAACATATTAACACCTGTTTTGTTTCCAGTAAAAAGGGGAAAACCTATTATCTTATAACATCTCATTAATCAAAAACACTCCCATAAAAATAAACAAATATAGACAACCGTTTGGACAATGGCTCTTCTTCATAGTGGAGAAATCAATATTTTTTTTTAAAGTATCACACAGGTTAAGAGCAGGAAAATAAACACTTTCAGAAAAAGAAGTCAGGAAAGAGGTCACCTCGTTTCTCACGAGCCTTGGGTTTAAGTCTCGTGAAGGGAGTTTATCGAGTAGAGAACACACGCGCGAGATCGCCACAGAGGTGGGGCAATGAGGACAGGGCATGGGCAGGAGTGAGATGGATGGTACCATCATGCGACAATGCGGGATGGTGATGGTATGGGGAGGCTTTTATCCAGCAGTGGATTAAACATAGCTCATGATGAATATGACTCCTATTTGTGTTACATAGGTCATAGGTTCATGTTTGCACTGACTTGTTTCTCCTGTTACTCTAAAGAAACACTCGCATATAATGTACATCCGATTTGCATTAATCGTAAATTGCTATATTCCGTAACTGTGTATTTATTTTTATTTTGTAGTAACAAGCTAAGGATGCCGTTGTGTTTATTCAGGCTATGAACGAGAGCTCATGTACAGGAGAAGTGATGGCTCCTTCAGTGCATTTGGAAACTCTGATCAACAAGGCAGTACATGGTAATAGCCTACAGCTAAGAAACTAATACAGTGGTCTTTCAGTTTTACTTAATGGTTTTGTTTCAAAATATTCAGTATTTTATGCTTTCATTAAAGCTTTTTTACTTGTCACTTTGTTTTTAATATTTTCCCGTTTCTGTTGTGTAATCTTAAACATTGCAATACAATAATAAATTGATAAAATAAAATAACACAATAATATTCTCACGACGTTTCGGCCACAACACAAGCCGAAACGTCGTGAGAATATTATTGTGTTATTTTATTTGATCAATTTATTATTTTATTCTCATTCTACGTGACTTTACCGAAAGAACCAAAGAAGATGAATCCTTGCAGTCACGAAAGCTTTAAATCGAAATTGCAATACAATGTATACATTGAACAGTGAAAGAAAACTGAAATAAAATTATTTTGTGTTATGTAAGATAGATGACCAACAAAATACAATTGTTGAAGGCTTATTTTTTCTAATGTTTGGATGCAGTACTACAATTGAAACCACTATTTTTTTAAACTGTTTATTACACATTCATATAATCGACCCATATTTCTGTACACGGTCTTAATACTAAAATCTTGGCAGCCACAACAAGTACGTTGCAAACTCTGTCAACAGAAACGTGACCTCTTTCCTGGCTTCTTTGGGTCTTTTGGTAAAGTCTCATAGATAGAATACATTTTAAGAAAACCATTCCTGGTTTCTTAGCTGAAATACACGTGAGAGTCTCACAAACATAGCTAAAAGTAACATCATCCTCATATTCACGTCTCTCAGGTACAAATCTGTAATGGGTGTTGTACCCCAATGGTACATTCACAGATCGTTCTACACATAGCCTTTAGCAATAAACTGCACTGAATGATAATTATTATCAGACACATGTGTAAACTTGTTTTTGGTTGGCACTTTCTAAAAAAAAGAGTTCTTAGCTGATAATTCCAAGCAAATATACAGGACAGTAGTCATGAATGCCACGATGGGCAGAATGTGAATCTTTCTTCTAAGTGTGTACGCAGCACACATATGAACGTCAACCACCTTGTTTATTTGTGCAATATTCCCGAAGAACCCTGTAGTCGTTCTCTCCAAAATTCATGTATTTGTTTTTGCTTTGTTGTTACTGTGTTCACACACCACGAATGTGCCTTATAAAACAGCCAGGCAACTAGCTAAATTGGATCATCCTTATAAAAAAAAATAATAAACTCAAAAACTTAAAATATAGGATGAGGTCAAATACTGACTTCCCTCTGAGGGTATGACGTGTTTTCTTGGGCTATTGTCCCAAGTGGAATTTTTCAATGTTGTCTTTCTCAGAATAAGACTTCATTTATACTGGAGGAACCCGATGAGCTGTAAAGCTCTTTTTCACAGATGTGCAGTAGTTTTCACAGCTGTCTGCATGTGTCCTGCGCTCTCGTTCCAAATCCCTAGGCTGACAGCGTTCGTGCTGAGGACTTTCCTGCAGGCACGGAGTTATATCCCTGTGGACAGCAATGTGATCGACACTGCTCGCAACTTTCTGCTGAACTCTTTGGCACCATCTGGTCAGTTCACGGAGCATGGCTACGTGATTCACAGGGAGCTGCAGGGCGGCTCTGCCAGCCACATCAGCCTGACGGCCTACACTCTCCTCGCCTTCCTGGAGGACAGTACGGTAGGCAGATGATACACAATCAAAGTATGGAAATATTTGGTTGAGACAAAGATAAATTTCGTCTTCATTTTACATAAAGGTGGTTGACCCAGATAATTGCATCAGGAGTAGTAGAATGTTTGACTATGATGCCTCCTCCTTATTTGTGAATCGGGCACTCAGTCCGTTATACATTCCATGGTCTGTTCGGGGTGACCATAGTCGCACACTGGAGAAGTTTTAATATTCCATTTGTGTATCAAGTAACCGCATTTGCCATAGTCTGTATGGATGTGGTTTTGGGTATCTCATATGCTTCATGGAAGATAAGCCAGGGATTTTTTGCATCAGGCCTTTTATGAGGTATTTGTTTGTATTATTGTGAACAACATTCAGTTTTCCTAGCATCATCAGGGTTAAAATTGCATTTCTAAAGGTTAGGCGCATGGGTCCACAAGTGCTTGCATAACTTGACGCGGTTTTCCATGATTATCTCCACTTTTCCCTGAGGGTTGCAGCATCGCAGTGATTGGATCTATGAGCAATGTGCAAAAACGTGGAAAGAGTCAGGGTGTTGTGGCCATCTTGAGGGTTCCAGTATTCAGATGGACATCAACAAGTCAAGCCTGGCTATTTCTGGTTAATACCGGTGTACCGTACACTGTTAAAGAGTACACAAGCATCATCAATGCTGTATTCCTACGTATGCAAATTTGATGCCGATGCTCCCCAGCTTGTGCTTGGCAATTTCTGAACCAGGTTGACCTTTGTTTTCTTTTTAGCGGCTACCTTTTTCAGTTGGCCATAAAAGGTTATCCTGTGGTGCAACTTCATTCCTAGATTGTTCAGAATTGGGTAATGTTACACAGTTTTGCCACAAAACGACACTTTCAGGGTGCGTTTAGCATTTCTGTTATCAAGATGAAAGGGAGTGACTGTTGATTTGTGCAGGTTTGGTTTGAGCCACCATTCCAGAAATATCCCATGGTGTTTAGGTGCCCGTTCAAGGTGGAATTTATGTCATTCAAGGTGGCTGCTTGTTTTACCAGGGCGAGGTCATCTACGTATGCAAATTTGTGTAACTTTTTTGGTGACACACTCATGAAGACATTGGTGAGCATTTCTGAGCATTTAGCCTTGTGGTAGTCCATTGTTGAGGGACTGGGGTGAACTGGCATTGTCACCAAAAGGGACATGTACCTGCCAATTACTCAGCATCATCCATAGCAAGCAAAGTGTTTTGAAACGGTGGATTATCCTTGCGAGCTTCATCATCATACTTTTAATCCAGACTGTGTCGTAGGCAAATGGGACAGTATTCCAAAGTGGAGCAGTTCAAGCAACTAAGTAGAAAAAAAAGCGTTTTAACCTGCAGTATGGCGGTTGAACAGTACATGTTTCCCTCGCTTTATGTGGGTTTGATTTGTACAATTTTACATATATGAGGCAAACTTATTTCTACTCAAAATCCGTTAAATGCTACTTGAATTCACTGATATGCGGCAATGAGGTCAGACCTGTGACAATAAAGTAGATGTTATTTAATATAAATTTTGTTATTTGCATATATTTTATAATTCTTGCACGGGGTGTCTTTGTATTTTTACTTTGCATAGGCAGGTTATACGTTGTGTAAGCTGTACATGCAGTTGGAGTGACATGACCTCACTACCGTGTTGGGTCTGTTTGCATGATGTCACTGCTATGTCGGGTCGGTACGAATGACGTCACTGCCGGGTCGGGCAGTGTGGAGGCTGTTGACGAGTGCCACGGGGGTCGTGTCAGGCCATGGCATTCTGAGTGAACCCGACGGGACACGTGACCGGATCAAGGTGGGAGCCAGGGGCCCCAGGGGGACCTTGGGGGTCACGTGGTCGGGGAGCAGAGCCTTCTTTAGGGTTCGAGAAGGTGGGCGTGGCCTGGGTGCGGCCGGCCACGCCGAGGCGCATATAAGTGGGCTCCGCACGCAGAGCGGGGCTGTTCGTATCCGGGATGAAGACGCCTCATGAAGACTGAAGACAGAAGCCTCAAGTCATCGTGGCCAAGCAGAAGCCCTCCTGGCTTGGCCACGTTGAGTAGTACCCGAGTGTTCGAGTGTTAGCGAGATTAGGACGGTGGTCACCACCTTATATATAGTGTGTGTGTTACAGTTGTATTGCAGTTGTGTTATATAGTGTTGCCTCCATACGTGTGTGTGCACCTCTGTCGAACCATTACACAGTTATTAGGGCTTGTGGATGAGGTGGAAGGCGAGGGGTGAAATTGGGACCACTTCTGTGGATGTCTCATTGTTCAAAAGGTAGTGTTCCTGATCTTACTTTTGACTTTCAATGCCTAGAGGGTCACTTTAATTTTTTCTATCCCCTAGATTGTGCTACCTTGAGCAGGTGCCAACGGCACTCTTCTTACAGACTCAAGTGTTTCACTCTCTCTTCTTCCTCTTTCTCTCATTAATTTTTACATTTTTATTCCCTCTGTTTCTCTTTCCCATCTTAGATCATAACTCGGGGTTCCTTCAGATCCATTCGTTTATACTAATTGTGCTAACGCATGTATCCTGTTTCTGTTTTCCTTGGTTTGCATTGATGAAATAGATAAATGAATGCAACTTTAGAAATTATTATGCTGATGTGCCATAAGGGTAATAATTCCTTGTTCATTTAGTGCAGTTAATACTGATCATAAAATGTACACATTACATTTTTCTTTTGCATGAGACTGCATAGGGTTTTGGTGAGATCAAATAACACAATGACAATGGAAGAATCATTGAATATCCTGCAGTGGTGATCAGCATGCATTGTTTGGGATCTACATATTGGAGTGGTTGACCTGAACACATTGGTTAAAGGTGCTTTGCTTTGATTATCCCAAAATGATAATTCTGGTGCATGTGGATTACAGAATAACAATGTGAACATCTCAAGTGCTATCCACTTCCTGGAGGCGAATGTGAGTGGTGGCGGTGTGGCAGCCAGCCTGCCCTTGGCCCTCACAGCGTACGCCCTTTCCCTCGCCAACAGCAGCCACGCCGAAACTGCCCTGACCCTACTCAACAGCCGCTCCACTTTAATAGGTCAGGCACTATGGCAACACATGCCCACTGAACCCACAACTTCTGAATGCGTGATATTTTAGTTGCACATCATACAGGACCTGTCAACTGACAACTGGAGTGTGTTCCCCATAGTGTGTTATGCTAACTTTTGAAAATATTCCAATGACTTATTTCTATTAACCTGATAATATTGTCTCCTTCACATTCTGTCTCTCCACATAAAACAATGAAATAATTTCTTACACAACCCATCAGCCGCATGATCTTCTGATAGTGCATAACTTCAACAGTATTGAATCAAGACAAGCAAAATCTGGGCTGGTTTTGACATGTGTCTCATCATCAGAGTCAGGGTGACAAGCTGAGTTTTGAGTAAAATACTAAATTAAATAAAAACGTTAACTTGTACATTCTACTTTGGTTCTTTCGGTAAAGTCACATAGAATGAGAATAAAATAATAAATTGATAAAATAAAATAAAACAATTAAAATTCTCACGACGTTTCGGCCACAACACAAGCAGCCTTCATCAGGTGAAGGGACGAGACTGTCTGGAGGACAGCGCTGGAGCGAACACAGCCAAGTTCAGATCGTGACCTTTAAGCTGTGTGAGAAGAAACAGAGCGCCTTGACAAAGGTATTAGCATAGAATTTAGCATTGAAATGGCTGAGTGATTAGCTTGTGACTGGTCACAGAAATGGCTATGTTAAAGTCAAAGCATACACATCCACAGATGCACCTAGTACAAATCAAACAGGAGAATTTAGCATTGATATAGCAGAGTGATTAGCTTGTGACTGGTCACAGAAATGGCTATGTTAAAGTCAAAGCCTACACATCTGAGCTATTAACAGTAACTGGGTATACACAACACTATATAATGAATACTATATAGTAAACCAATAAAAAACTAAAATATAAATTACCTCAATGTTATCAATAAACTCTATATATTCTCCAATCAGCTAAGCTAAGCTACCAACAATAAGTCGTTATATATCACAATGCTGAGGGTAAGAATCCACCCATTTTTTCGCCATATAGCATTGTGATATATAACGACTTATTGTTGGTAGCTTAGCTGATTGGAGAATATATAGAGTTTATTGATAACATTGAGGTAATTCATATTTTAGTTTTTTATTGGTTTACTATATAGTATTCATTATATAGTGTAGTGTATACCCAGTTACTGTTAATAGTTCAGATGTGTTAACATAGCCATTTCTGTGACCAGTCACAAGCTAATCACTCAGCTATTTCAATGCAAAATTCTCCTGTTTGATTTGTACTAGGTGCCTCTGTAGATGTGTAGGCTTTGACTTTAACATAACTATTTTTATGACCAGTCACAAGCTAATCCCTCAGTTATTTCAATGCTAAATTCTCCTGTTTGATTTGTACTAGGTGCATCTGTGTATGTGTATGCTTTGACTTTAACATAGCCATTTCTGTGACCAGTCACAAGCTAATCACTCAGCTATTTCAATGCTAAATTCTATGCTAATTCCTTTGTCAAGGGGTGCCTCTGTGGATGTGTATGCTTTGACTTTAACATAGCCATTTCTGTGACCAGTCACAAGCTAATCACTCAGCTATTTAAATGCTAAATTCTATGCTAATTCCTTTGTCAAGGCGCTGTTTCTTCTCACACAGTTCAAGGTCGCGATCTGAGCTTGGCTGTGTTCGCTCCAGCGCTGTCCTCCAGACAGTCTCGTCCCTTCACCTGATGAAGGCCGCTTGTGTTGTGGCCGAAACGTCGTGAGAATTTTTATTGTGTTATTTTATTTTATCAATTTATTATTTTATTCTCATTCTACGTGACTTTACCGAAAGAACCAATGAAGATGAATCCTTGCAGTCACGAAAGCTTCAAATCGAAAAATGTGTACATTCTATTCCAGAGAATGGGCTGAAGTTCTGGTCAGACTCTGCATCAAGTGAGCAGTCCTACTACTGGCAGCCGTCGGCCATCACCATTGAGACCACAGCGTACGCCCTCCTGGCTCATCTTCGTCAGAACAAAATTGCAGAGGCGGTCCCTATCATGAATTGGCTGAGTCAGCAGAGGAACCACCTGGGAGGATATGCGTCCACACAGGTAACGACACTACCTGGGGAACATTCGTCGACAGAGTTGCTTGAAAGTGACACAATTCATAATTTATATTTTAAGGGGGTTTTTTTGTTTAAGGCAGTTGCGTGATTTCTGCGATAGCATGTCTGATTTGCAAGGACGGGTAGCATACTTCAATATGGATTACCGTTGATTCGGCTATTTTAATACACACAATAGACAGGAAGGACAAGATCTACTGTAAGGGCTCGCATAATGCATATTAATAATGTAGGTTGACTCAGTATTCCCCCCCCCCCCCTTGGCGCAAGAGCGCAGACGCGTGGTCACCACACCTACACCTCTATATAAGGAACGAAACAGTTAGACTTCTCCACAAATCCTGCTGTCGCCTGATGAAGCTAGTTGTAATTACTGGCGAAACGTCGTACTCAGATTGTAAATGTTGCGGCTTGGCTCTCCAACACACCGGTGTGCTGTACTATAGACGAATTGGCATGTTCTGTTTACGTGACCACCCTTACTAGTTACATAGGTATGTCGGGTGGTGGGTTTTAACGACACATTTATATATTTACCTGATGTAATCCAAAAAAAATCTCGATTATAGATGATATTGGTCACGAAAGCCTACGTGTTAAACTTTCAAGGAAGACCGGGAAAAGACAGAGTTAGGGTTTGAAAAAAAAAGAATATGAAGATTATAATTTTTTGTGAAAGGTAGCATATTTATGATTTGGTCTTATTTGGTTATACTGTTGGCAGTAGTGCAAAAGGACACGTAACAAACTCAACACATTCATCAATAACATTGCCTTATAAGGAAAAACAAATATAGTAGGTGGAATCTTAGGGAATGGTCCTTCTTCATTCCACATAGATAAAGGGCCAGTTTCATGATGAATAATTATATTCTCAGCAATAAAGTATGGACAATAAAGTAGCTTTGAATATACATTTTTATTATATGTAATCGTATGTAATTTTGCACAATATTATTATTGACAGAATATGTTGTGTATTTAATTAGACATTTAACATTTACATTTATAAAAAAATATATTTGTCATAAATATGTCAACGTCATGAATGTAACATACCATGACATAAAATTGGGAAGGCAGAAGAATGTATCAATACATATTCTAAATATAGTTCGAGAAATATTAATAATCTTATTCTTCAAAGTGATTAACAATAAAATTGATGTAAAAATAAGTTAAACACTGGATGAAAATTACATGTAGATTTCTGGTTGTGATAGATGTATAAATATTTGTCATGGAAATTATCCTTTACTCCGGTGAACAGAGAAATATCTGTATGGGCAGTGCTCGACTTTTTCGAACGGGTTACTTTCCTGAAATTCTTCATAAGTCGATTTGTTCGTACCTCAAAATACGATTTTTTATTGTAGGTACTGTACATACTATACGTAAAATGTTATGGTTAAACAAAAAATTGCATTACATTAATAACTAAGAAAAAATTACGTACATTTCCATGTCATACCATAATAAAGAGTATATAGTAAATTTAACAAAATGAAATAACATTAAAACACTTTTATTTTCACTTAGCTTGAGTCCTGATGTTGGCTTGCTTGCTGGAATGGGTGTTTCTAGCATTCTGGGACTCATTACATCTCGCGGAGGATCGATTCGCTGAACAAAATAGTTTTGCGGTTCGGTTCATAAGTACGACCGAACGCTCGCAAGTCAGATGGTTAGAAAAAACAACATCTTGTGGCAGTTCATTCATAAGAGCGGATGTTCATAAGTTGGGGACTGTCTGTACAATATTTACACAAATTAACAGAAATTCAAGTAACAGTATTGTTGGCTCTGGGTTCACAGGACACAATAGTGGCGCTGCAGGCTCTGTCCGAGTTTGCCGTGTTGCAGTTTGGAAAAGTGTCTGGGTCACTAACTGTCTCTACCGCATTGCCGAGCAGCTCCATCACCGTGCAGCTGTCCGGCATGAATGCCACGGACAAGCGCATTGTGAAGGTACCACACCCTAACCCAAAAAAACCCTTTATTATGAAAAATATTGGTCGCGAAAGCCTACGTGTTAAACACACCCTACCATGGCTGGCACTTAGGATGCATTCAATAAATCTCAGGGATAGACAGGAAGCCGCTCATGGTGAATGGCAGGAAGCTGCTCATGGTGAGTGACAGGAAGCTACTCATGGTGAAAAGTGGACAAAGATGGAGAGGTGCTTGCTTGGAATTACACTGGGAGACAGGAAGAGGAACAAACAAACAGAGAACATATCTAAGGTAAATATGTAAATGTGACTGTTAAGAATAGTGGGCTTGGGCAGGACACATCGCTCAAAGGGATAAAGGATGGTGGCTGAGACTAATAATGGAGTGGAAGTTAAGAAATAATGTATACCGTAGATATGGAGTGCTAAAATCAGCTTGTGTGCAGGAGCTGAATGGATTATTAGATCACAAGACCATGAGAGATAGTGATGATGTTGGTAACTTTTATCCAGCAGTGCAGAGATCATCGCTGATGATAGATTCATGTGTTTTTAATGGCATTTAATTCCTTCTATTCCAACAGATTTCTACAAGCTCGAATTTAAATGTGACTCTGTCTGGAACTGGTAATGGACAAGTTATTGCACAGGTATTGGCTGCCCTGAAGTGTAATGATAAAACAGTCATTCTCTCATGAATGCAGCGTACCACATGTGGCTCTTAGTTTTTGCTCTGTGACCATAATATATCATACTACATTTTAAGATAGAATTTGGGATAAATTAGGTTTGTGTGGTGCCATTTTAGAGGCCTGTATAGTGGCTGAGTAAAGGATTAATTAAATAATGTTATTCTTAAGTTACCATCTGGGATTGTCTCCTGCAAATAGTGTAATTGATTTTGATTTAAAGCTTTCGTGACTGCAGTAATTCATATTCTTAGTTTTTTCGGTAAAGTCACGTTGAAGGGAAACAATGAAATAATAAAATATATATATAAAATAGTTAAATATTTTATTATTTTATATATATATAAAATATATATATAAAATTGTTCCATATAAAATATATAAAATTGTTTTATATATATTTGATTATTTTATTGTTTCCCTTCAACGTGACTTTACCGAAAGAACTAAGAATATAGTGTAATTGATGTAGGTACTGTATTTAGGACCTGGGACACTTCTTACTTGATTCCGAAAGTACAATTTGATTATTATTCATGATGTATTTATATAAATATGAATGTATGTTTAGTTTTAAACGATGCATTCTAAAACATCCACATTATGATAAGACACACATGTATCCACCCGATTATTTTGTGATGAGCTGAGTCAATACCAGGTTACACTAGTGGGTGACAGTTTTTTTTATGTAGACAAATATAGACAAGTATAGAACGACTCAGTTAATGTTATGTAACATGGGCTCATTCTGGAGTGTGGTTTGGATGAAATTAAGAATGTTGTGCTGATAAGTATTGCCGTGCCTTCGCAGCTGAACGTGTTCTACAACTTGCGGGATTCCCCGGTGGTACGCAGGGCTCGCTCGGCAGCCCCCAGCCCAAGCTACGAGCTCGATGTGTACTTCGAAGACACCGGGGTTAACGGTTCCATCGGGGAGCAGGTGGTGCTGACAGCATGCACAAGGTATGGAGGAGGCTTGAGAGGTGTTAAAAAACATCCGAATGAGCAGATGCTCTCGTACTTTGTGGTATGTCAAAACATGTCGTGGAATTGGTCAATTTTATTTTCACGGCAAATCCAAATACAGATGGCTTTCAATTTTCTGTGGCCGATTTTCTGAGATTTGGATTAACCTTGCTTCAGGCGTGACTGCCTATGCTACAGCCACGTGGTGATGGCGCACGCCTGTAACCCAACACTGTGAATTACTTAAATGTTGTGAAATTCCTTCCCATGGTTATTGAGGTACCATACCCTGTCTTGCCAGGAGGTGGTGCAGGAAATGGGGACTCCCATCTACACCATTTGCATAAGATAGATTGTTTCCACCTTGCACCATGTCAGTTTTCTCTGAGTGCTGCGGTTTAACCTCACATGTATAAACTCATTAATTGGCTGAAAACATTTTAATATATAGAAGACCACAGAGCTTGGACAATTGTTTATGCCAACTCACTGCCAGGCCTCTGTGATTCTTGTGAGTCGTTCTCTGTATATGAGAGCTAAGTAAGTAGTTTATAAACGAGCAACTCTTATAACCAAGGTTATCACAAGTGTGCAATATTCATACATTGTAAGCTCTGTTAACCAAGTCTGTCTTGCATTTTCAACTGAACCGGTTTAATGTCTGTGAAGTTAGAGAATGCTATGCACATTACAATTTGAAAAGAATATAAATATTTCATTGTCCAAAAGTAAACCCAGACTGACACGTGCTACATTTTCACCTTCATTATATGTTGGTAAATTTATTTACGTTTGGCGTTATCTCCCATTGCACCTGATAATCGAGATTAACTGTTTTGTACATGCACATGAGACAAAGACACCTTTTAGAGACTGTTTGCAGTGTTATTTTAATGTTGGTTGCTTGAAACGAGATGGTGACTTGGCTCAGGTGAAGGTCGCTGTGGATAGGCTCCAGCCATGGCCATGTGTACACTAACGTGTTGTCAGTTGTGCAAGTACCCAACAGCATAGACATAACACTGTGTCGTGCTTTGATTTTGTGTCCACAGATGGATGGGCCAGGATGCCTCTGGCATGGCCCTCATGGAGACGAACCTGCTCAGTGGCTTCTTGGGTGATGACAAAATCGCCCTAACTGACAACCTCAAGCTCGTGGAGACATCGACAGGAAAAATCCACCTCTACTTTGTCAATGTACGTGCTCTCTGCAGACCAGCCAATCACAATGATGTGCGACCTGACATCTTATTGTGCCTGACCAATTTATTTGCATTTTTAAAATAAATAATTACAGTAAATGTTTTCTTTTCCCTTTTAGCTAAATGAGAATTCAACTTGTGTGAACATCACACAGCATAGAGTTGCACCAGTGGCAAAAACAATGGAAGCATTGGTTTCAATTAGTGACTACTATGAACCAAGTAAGTACAATCAATCTCTCAAAAACTTTAAATTTGCTAAAACCTACCTTTAATTTTGCAGTATGATTTATCTTCACACTACTCATCACTGTGATCTTTAGTCAAGTTATCACACTCTTTCAACTTGGAGGGAAATTCATCGGACCAAATGTATCTTTAATACATACACACTCAGTCTCTTACCTATCCAAATAATTTATTCAGGATCAATATCCTCAAAATCTTAGACATTTCTGTAGCATAGTTTTCTAATTCGGGCTGTGTTGTTCAATCAGGAGGTAATCTGCCCAATCCGCTTTGCACTGATGTGAATTATGTATGCAATCTTTTCAATTCCTCATATGATAGTTAATTTGTTTTGCATTTGTTATTTCTTATTATATAGATCACGAGCAAATGAGGCTATCATGCTCTAATGAGTTCTCACCTGGTTAAACAAAATATGTATACTTTTATATGAGCTAAATCTTCTGATGATGAAATCGGCAAGTATCCATTGGAATTGCTGTTTTACTTAAGTATAATTGAAATGTTGGACTTGTTAATATCATAGGGTGCTAGATTTTCACGTAAGAATGTTTGATTGTATGGATACTTAGCTTAATGGTTTAAGTTGTATATACCATGATTTCACCAGAATATAAACTTTCCAGTGTAGCTACCTTAAATCCCTTTATATCATCATCTTGTGGAATATTTTCTTTAAAATTATCAACAAAAGCAAGCAGTAAATGTGACAAAGAGGATCCTTTCGTGACTGCAGGAATCCATACTCTTTGGTTCTTTCGGTAAAGTCACGTAGGTATAAAATAAAAGAAATAACGTTTCGGGCACAACACAAGCAACACAAGCGTCCACCTGATGGTGGACGCTTGTGTTGCGCCCGAAACGTCGTGATTTATTTTATTTTATACCTACGTGACTTTACCGAAAGAACCAAAGAGTAAAAATACTGAATGTAAAAATCGAATGTTAAGTTTTGCTGCATTTCTATAAAGTATGCTACAGTAAGACTTATACCAAAATCCTAAGTAAATGTATATGTTGCTTACCACTACATGTTAACACTACATCTATTGCACTTCCTTATTGCATCAGTACTGTTGAGGAAATGCAATTACTGTACGTTAAAATCTTGATTTGAAGCTTTCGTGACTGCAGGAATCCATACTCTTTGGTTCTTTCGGTAGTCACGTAGTTAGAAATAAAATAAAACAAATCACGACGTTTCGGGCGCAACACAAGCATCCCTCATCAGGTGGGACAACCTCCCCTCTTTCCTACCTATATAACCTCTTGCCACAGCAGCTCTCTCGCCCACTTCAGCAATTTTTTTCTTGCTGTGGTTGTCCCACCTGATGACGGACGCTTGTGTTGCTCCCAAAACGTCGTGATTTGTTTTATTTTATTTCTAACTACGTGACTTTACCGAAAGAACCAAAGAGTATGTACGTTCAAATTTTAATATATATTTAATGACATCCTACCAATCATAAATCCTGCTAGAGTTTGGTGAATCATTGAAGGTATTATCTTTTAAATATGTTTTGGCAATCCGTGAGTAAAATATATTCATAGTTTTGAGGTGTTACATTTTAGACTGAACCTTAAATGTATATCTTCTTGGTTCTTTCGGTAAAGTCACGTAGAATTGAAATAAAATAATAAAAATAAAACATAATAAAATAAAAATTCTCACGACGTTTCGGCCACAACACAAGTAGCCTTCCTCAGGTGAAGAGACAGAACTGTCGGGAAGACCGCTTTCATTGAACACAGCCAAGCTTTGGCCGCGTCTTTTAAGCTGGGTGGGAGGAGCAGAGTGCCTTGACCAAGGAGTTTACATATCAACAGAATAATTTAGCATTGATTAGCATGATGTTAAAGTCAGAAATTAGCATGTAACTGGGGGATTAGCATGATGTTAGTGTGAGGGATTAGCATGTAACTATGTCGGAACTATGTCGGAAAAAGTGGCGGTTTCGTTTTTCCTTTCAATGTTAGCACCACTGTGGTTAGCACCACTGTGGTTAGCACCACTGTGGTTAGCACCACCACAGAGAGTGACGAGCTTTGTTCAGACGGACGAGTCCATCTATGCTCGGAATGGAGGAGGGGGGAGAGAAGAAACAGCAACGATGCGCTGCTCTGTCCTGTGTTGCGTTACTACTATGCTACAAACTAGACTACTATACATTACAATATTATACCTTCCAATCTAAACTACATTGTATAATATCGTATACACAGCCAAATGTAAGCTCTAACATTATGCATTATATTGATATGCCTCCAACTAAACTTTTTTCTAAAATTACACGACTATACACCTTAATAGACACTGCCATAGACAAACCCCACCCTTGAATTATACAATGCGTTACTATACACTACCCTATACTTTAGACTATAAAATATTAGACTTGTAATATTACACTGTATTATTCTACCAACCCTACTGTGTACCACACTGCTGTATATTCACTATACAATTACGATACTATATATTGCCTTATGAATTATGTTAAACATTACACTGTTATACTATTTTATTATTATACAACCTGCTATAAACCATACCATTGACGGTCGTGTGAAAGGTACTAAGGGGCAGTGCCAGCGAATGGACTGCCATCTGAAAGTCACCGTAAAATAACAATCAATCAAGAACCGAAATGGTTTATAACGTCTTTCCAATGGTTACTAAGCCAGAATCCATCTTCTCAGTTGAAATTGTCTCTGTTTTTGTATATGTGGATGGCCTCATGAACGAATCTCTCATGGTAGCCGGATGGCTTGCAGAGAACCTCCATCTTGGAGAAGTCCATGTCAAAGCGCTCATCTTTGCTGATGTTACTAGCTGGCATCTTAGCGTTTTTGAGGGTTGCAGCGATTTCAGATCTTGCTACGTCTGCAGCGATGTGATCCAGGCCCTTGAGTGCCATGTCGACATGGGCAATGATATAATTAACTGGTATGTGTCTAGGTGTGACTGCAAAGTTTAGTCCTTTAGCTAAGACGGTTTTCAGACCATCAGAAATAGAACTGTTACTGCGATTAATTACGACGTTAACATCTAGCTTTTCGGTGGGTGGGTCCGATTTCTTGTTGGAGAGGCGGTTGAATTTGGAAATCAAGTTGTCCTTACATTTGGGCGACATAGTGGCAGTTACATGCTAATTTCTGACTTTAACATCATGCTAATCCAACACATTAACATAGCTACTTCAATGCTAAATTCTTCTGTTATGTAAACTTGGTCAAGGCACTCTGCTCCTCCCACCCAGCTTAAAAGACGCGGCCAAAGCTTGGCTGTGTTCACTGAAGCGCTGTGTTCCCGACAGTTATGTCTCTTCACCTGAGGAAGGCTACTTGTGTTGTGGCCGAAACGTCGTGAAAATTTTTATTTCATCACGTTTTATTTTTATTATTTTATTTCAATTCTACGTGACTTTATCGAAAGAACCAAGAAGATGAATCCCTGCAGTCACGAAAGCTTTAAATCGAAACTTAAATGTATAATTACGTATTGAAATAGCTTTATACCACCATGCAATCAAAATGTTTATAATATACCTACAGTCCACGTAATACATGTTAACTACTGAAGTTATATTATTTAAAAAGTATTCTTCCAACTGAGAGTGTTTTTGCCCCTCTGCCTCTTTCTTCACAATTAGGAACAAGAGTGGAGATGCAATACAAATCCCTAAAGCTGTCTAATATAACCTTGCAGTCCTTATGTGGTGAAAACTGCACGTTTCAAAGCAATGTACTTGCTAACACCACTACTGCAAAGGCTAGCGGCATTATGTCAGGTAGTGGTATGAACCCTTTTCTATGGTTCCTGATGCCTGCTGCCTTCTACCTGTCCTGGATGGGGCTCTGAAGAATAATCCTCTATGACTAGGGGGCCTTGAAAGCACTCGCTCACAGCTATGTTATTTGTATCCACTTCACAATGTGTGCCTTCTAATCAAATAGAAAAAAATATGTAATAAAACATAAAACAAATCATATGATACTTTATAACTGGTATGTTTCAGTTGCTAATGTATGTGTAGCCAAAGATGGCTGAGCAGGGGGTTAGGAATATTGTTTTGGAATACCGTTATTGGTGGTGGCTGTCAACTCACATTTGACATTTTTCAACATATAACAAGAGCTCTCCTTTAAACTAACATACATAATCAGGATGTATTATAGCATTACACGCCACAAATATATAAAGGAGAAATGCAAGTTAATAAACATGCAACTTATGGGCCTGCACTGATTAAAAATATCAAAACCTGAATCACTTTGTTCAACAATCATGAGATACCATTACCATATTTGCATTCTCTTTCTGTAAGGGCACACTTTTCCCAGTACTTTTTTAATTTCTTGGAACAACTGTTGCTTTTGTGTTTATATCTGTAACAGTGCCATAAACATTCCTTTCAGAGCAGGTCATTGTTTAGGGAAGTATGTGCACAAGATTGATAACGAATCATTGAAATCAAGAAATAATAAACACGATTAATTGTGAATAAATGGTTTACTGGGTGTATGTGGTATGTTTCAATGTTTATTTCTGTGCGATGGCGATGTGCACCGTTATGTTCTAAACATGTTTTTTGGGTCTTGTGTGCATTTAGAAGAGACATAAGAATGGCTCGAGTTAAAAGCAGGTATTCAATAATGGCTGAAGTCATTTCCAATGTCCACTATTTTCACGAACCCACCCTGCCCAGCGTGGTGAAGTATGGCCATATATCTTGCCCCAATGGTAGTGCAGCCTTAAACTTGGTCTTCAGTCACTTGGTGCATGATGACAGCAGGGTTTGTATAGGTGTAAGTAATGTTATGAGCCTTTGGGTAACAACACGGGACCTCGATTTTACAATTTCCACATAAAATGTGCATACTTTTATCTAAAGAATCAAATCTTGCTTCATGGGAAACAATTGAAATAAACTGGGTGGAACATAATTGATATCAGCAAGTGAAGAAGGAAAGTGAAGAACCCCATACCTCTCTGTACTCACTGTACTATGCTAATGATCTGCTAAATGTTATTTCCAAAATTAGGATAAAAATTACTGAGTTTCTTACGATGCTTTGTGCTAACAATTGGGCCATGACGTTTTGACGAGAAATGTAACAATGCCAATATCTCGATCTCATTCCATAAACAATGGTTGGCATCCAAATGCATAACAAGACAAAGTGGCACATGCCAGGATGTTAACCAAAGCCAACAACGGCTTCTTCCTGAAGAAGATATTTCAAAGGAGCTCCTCTGGCTTTCCACCAGATTTCCATTCAAAATTAGTTGCTCATTGAGATATTCTTTGGGTCTTTCGGTAAAGTCACGTAGATAGGTTCAAAGTACCTTCATCTTAGAGAAATAAATTCCGTATATTCGAAATTGCTATTTTAAATGTAGAAAATGATTCAAAAGCAAGCTACTCATTTTGTTAAAAATAACAATTGTCAAGCAAGCAAATTCTAAACCAGTTCATCAGTGGTCTCATTTTCAGAGATAGTCTTGCATGAACTATTGCTGGTCAACGATAGTCTTGCATGAACTATTGCTGGTCAACTTCCAGATGTTTATTACTGTTAGGTATGGGTCCGAGTTTGTTGCAGAAATACAGCAATACCTCGATATACGAAGTAGATGCGTTCCTGGAGCCTCATTCATGTATTGAAACTTCGTATATTGAATACTACTAGAATGAGCCAAGAATGTGTTCCGCACGTGACGTCACTCCACATTACGTCCACCCCCTGCGTGACGTCACTCCACATGAGGACCACCTCCCCTCATTAATATTAATGAATGGGTGGATTTTTACATTAACGCAGAGGAAGGTCGAGCTAAATTAAATAATTTATTACGCAAAGTCGCTTCAAATATGACGTTTCTTTACAGAAAGTGACGGTAAAAATAAAGCAGCACAGTGCTACATCCGTGCGTGACGTCACTGCAAAAGAGCCCCCCCCCCCTTCATTAATATTCATGCTCGCGTCGAAATTTACACAAACGCACAAGGTCGCGCACTCCACATGCCGAACTCCTCCCCTCATTAATAATCATGACGGGTGACGTCACTCCACATGGGGCAATCCCCCTCATTAATAATCATGAGCTGAACAATTTTCCTATTGAATATTTCAGATTCACTGCAATATACACCCGTCCTTGGACGGGCAAAAAAGCTTAGTAACTTATAACAGTACTATTAGGATGCGTTCCCAGCCTTCGTAACTTACTATTTCATACGATAAACACTTCATAATTTACTATTTACATTGTAAACAAAGTCAATTTATATTGAAAATATTTAATAATGTACAGTATTAAAATTAAAAAAATGAAATAAATTATAATTACATTTTTATTTATATAGTACTGGAGATCGACACATGTATTATTTATTTCGTGATAGCAGTTTTTATTTTAACCAACGACCTCTTGCACACCGGGCGATGGAGATAACATCTCCCCCCACTTTCCTACATTAATAACCTTGTATGGACACCAGAGATTCCATCTCCACTATAACTTGCTGTTGTCCCTCTCTCGAAAACCATCTCTTCTCCCTCGCCCATCCTACCGCTACTCCCTCACCCCCACCCCACAGCTACCCCTATCACTACCCCTCCTTCATCGCTCCCACCTGTTCTTCTGTCACCATAATGACACCACCACTGTTAACAACCTCACTCTATATTTAAACGACTATCATCTTATGTACAATTTTATAATTGTTGCGAAGAGCCTTGGAATAAAACGCAAGGTACATCTATTTTAAGATAATAATCTCCTGTTCCTTAGGTGCAGATTTCGCATTCTGAGGTTCAGGATTGCCTTAACCCCCCCCCCCTCAAAACCTTTGACGCCATAATATTGAATAGAATCCCGATTTCCACTGACCCCTCCCGGGCATCTTAGGACGGAGGGTCCATCGCTTGTTCTGGTTTGCGGTGCTAATGTTCAAGTTGGAACTGAGGATCCTTCATTTGTGCCATTACAGCCATGACATGAGCAATTATTCAGCCTCCGTAATCTCAATCTCCGAGCCCTCGCTTCTCGGTCTTTCACATGCAAGGCAATGCACTAACACTCCTCCATGTCGTGAAAGTAGCCGGCCAAGGCAAGTGGAAGCATAATGCGTGAAATGCGCATTTTTTTAAAGCTGCAATTTACACTCCTTATGCCTGAGCGCACACGCTCCCATTACCGACGCAGTCTTTAATTGATTATTGATTAATTTACGTGTTTTAATTGCGGCCCGCACCGCCCAATCATATTGTAGTGACGCCGGCACACGTGGTGACTTATGAACAGCCTTTTTATTCAGACACAGCACGAGCGATGCCCAGGCTTGAGCTCCATCTTCTCTCCAATGTCCCCTCTCCGTGGGCTGTCTCATTTTATACCTCCAAAGCCCCCTCTTTGGAAGCTTCTATTACCCCATTCCCTTCGGCCAATTCTGACCCTTCCCCACCAACAGTTCTCAAACGTCCTTCTGCAGTCTACCCTTGCTTCCTGCCTTTTTACATTTATAATATTTTCTCCAATCCTTTTCAATCTTACCTCCCAATCGATCACTGTGGAGACCTTTCTGCACCAATGGAAGGCCTTGGCCTCCTTCCTGATTGTCTAACTGTATGCTTGTGTCAGGTAAGCGGTCTGTTATCTCGGTCATTACAAAATTGACAAAACCAGTGAGAACACGTGGCCGTTATTTCTATAAGCAAACAACAAAAAGTTCCCATCACAACTGAGCATAGAACGTTTTAGGACTGAGGAGCATAGCCCTGGGGAGATCACGTGGGTTGGGGCTCGATATGTCAAATGAATGAAAATGTAGTGAGTCCAACTGAGTCGCAGACATCTTGGGAGCAACACTATTTATTTCACCAACTCAATATAACATAACACAACCTACACTTGGGTGTTGAATGCCCATCTAGTCACGCTACGGCAGAACTAGACCCGGTTCACTATCCCGGCCCGGACCACAAGCTGGGTCTAGGACCGCGTGGCTAGAGGTGTCTTTAATCTGACGTGGATCTTCTTCACCAGCAACCCGAAGAACACCGAGCCCCTCATGGGGCCCCCCGTTATATCGGCCTGGGTTGGGGCCGGCTCCGCCCCTCGCCCCGCCCACCTTCTAGATTTCTCGAGCTCTTTCCTGAAGGCTCCCAAGAGCTCTTTTATACCATGTGACTGCCCAGTGGCCCCCGTCCACCGGTGGCCCCCCTCCAATATCATCCGGTCACGTGTCGACAGGTCAACCAGCGTATCATGCCCCAACGTAACCCTGGCTGGCTGACACTATCTCGCTCCCTCACCGGGAGCCCGCACCGCACACTGTACGTGGTGCCTCCACACTGACCAGTGCTCACCCAAGCCCCACTAGGGCTGGTACTATGCCCAATAAGTGGGCTACACATAATGCCAACACATTATCCGCCATGGCTTCGTAAGCCCGACACCACACAGTGACATTTCACAGTCACTACATCACCCCCACTCCATAGCATGCAGCCGTCCCGGCTGCCAACTCCCCCACAAGTAAGCAACCGATGTACAAATTTACAGAACAACAAACAAGTTTGCTCCAACAATAACAGAACAGCGCAATAAATTACCCAAACCCAACTGTTCAATATATACACCGAGAGAAAAAAAGTAAGCAACCCAACAATCACGTCGTACAAGATCCCCACAACCAACATCTCCCACCCACAACGTGTAACAATGCCCGTGAACTCGATGGCGAGCAGGATCAGCCAAATACTCGCCACGACTCATGCGAGCGCAACAACCCATGACATTTGGTTTGGTAAGCGGAGCTGGTTTGTAAGCTGTTTATTGCACCGTGTGAGTTTGTTTCATCTCCATATCGCAGGGGCCGAGTGCCGGGTGTGCCCGACAAGCTGGGGTTTTTAACATCTAATCTAATAAAAAATGATTATTTAATCTAATAAAGAATAATTATTTCATATTTTAATAGCAAATCTAAGACATACATATTCACCATCATTTTACAAAAAAACTGAAGGCACCCAATGGGTTCTCCCTTATCTCCGGTTGTGGCAAATATTTTCATGGAAATATCTGAGATGGACGCCATCCAGGCATCCACTCTACGCCCGTCCTTGTGGAAGAGGTAAGTGGATGACACGTTTGTCATCTGGCCACATGGCCCACCGGCCCACCCACATCAATTCCATACACCCAGCCATCAAATTCACCATGGAGGTAGAAAAGGATGGCTTGCTACCTTTCTTGGATGTCTTAATCAAAAAAGAGACCAGATGGCTCAATGAGCCACTCTGTCTACAGGAAAGTAACCCATACTGACGCCTACCTAAGACCTGATTCCCACCACCATCCATCCCAGAAGAATTCCCTCATCAAAACCAACCATGAACACCTAACCAGTAAACTCAAACACGTACACCAAGCGCTCAAGGCAAATGGATATTCTGACTACACAATCCGCAAAGCCTTCACCCCAAGCGTGAGGAAGGAGCCATCTGAGGATCCAATCAAAACCATCACCTTACCTTACATAACAGGGATAACCAAAACATTTCCAAAATCTTGAACAAACACAAGATCCAGGTCCAATTTAACACTGCATAAAATTCATGACCTGATCCTATCTGTGAAGGACAAGATTCCTGACATGCAAAATCCCGGCGTCTACAAACTAAGCTGTATCTGCGGCAGCAATTACATTGGGGAAACTAAATGACATGTCTCAGACCGTGTTCATGAACATAAGGCAGATTTCAAACATGGTAGGACCAATACTTCTGCTGTGGCTGATCATTATTTTAATATGGCTGGCTCACACAAAATGTATTTATCTAAGATGATGGTACTTTGCAAGCTTACTGGCTATCAACAAAGATTTGTTCATGAAGTCATCCATATACAGACACAGACAATATTTCCACTGAGAGGAAGGTTATAGACTCAGCAATCATTGGAAAGATGTCATCAACCACTTTTGTCATAACTTGACTTGTGTTTTCTTTTGATTTAAAGCTTTCGTGACTGCAGTAATTCATATTCTTAGTTTTTTCGGTAAAGTCACGTTGAAGGGAAACAACAAAATAATAAAATATATATAACAATAAAAAAATTCTCACGACGTTTCGACCATAACTCAAACGGTCGTCTTCAGGTGTGTTGGTTCGCATAAATTTATTTTTAAATGGCGCATTTATTTATATATAAAAAAACGTTAGCGCTACGCGCAACGATTTGGCAGTTTATTTAGGACTAGTCCATCTATATTCTGAAAAGAGGAGGGGGGAGACGAAATTTTTTATAATGTATGCTGTCTGAAAGCCACTGTAAGCGTGAACAATCAATTAAGACCTGAAATGGTTTATCAAATCTTTCCAATGATTGCTAAGATAGAATCCATCTTCTCGGTTGAAATTGTCTCTGTGCTTGTATATGTGGATAGCCTCACCGTCAGCAGTGTGGGTGTGTGAAGCGAGGTGCAATGCTTTGATTGGTGTAGACCTGCTGCCGGTGTCGGAGACCTCTCCTACATTAACATTAGCTGCCCCGCCCATCTCTAAACCTTTATAAACAGCTCTCTGATTGGTGTAGACCTACTGCCGGTGTGGAGCCCTCTCCTACATTAACATTAGCTGCCCCGCCCATCTCTAAACCTTTATAAACAGCTCTCTGATTGGTGTAGACCTACTGCCGGTGTCGGAGACCTCTCCTACATTAACATTAG